GTGTAAGGCCGCAGCTCGTACCCAGCTCAAGGGAGTCTGGATACGGCTGATAACCTGCGAACGGATGGAAAGGTGTGCCCTGGCCCCGTTCTAGCTCTTAGGTCAACATGAAGCTCGCGCGCTAAAGCTCCTTTTTACCTGGTTGGGCACTTGAGCCAAAAGTATATGGCATGTACCTGTATAGCGACTATACTGGGACCCCATCCCTATTGACATCTATTCTGTTCATCGGTGGGAAAAAAAGGGGGTTGCCGGTGTTGACCAACAGCCATTGATTTTTCAGGGTCAATGTAAGATAGCTGATCATTGGACATCCATAATATCAGCACCTGACTCTACAGGTTACCAAGAGACCTGGGCAGTTGGGGCCCTTCCCAAATTATAAAGACCTGGCAGTGAGGGTCCAGGGCGTATTTTCTAAGCTCCTAACATTGATAAGACTCCCGTTCGGATTCTGAAACCATCTCATGACTCATGTCTGCTTCTTCCAACCATCTCATCGCCACTCAAGCGGCTTGGTTTATTGACAACACCAGAGCATCCTTCTCTGGCACCTTTTTGAGCATGAGGTCACAGTAGCGGCTATACTGGTACTGTGCGGCCTGAGGTCACCATCCTCCAAAAGGACTGGAATCCTTGAATGGATTGGTCATGTTTGATGGGGTAAATGAAACGCTTCCAGTCCCATGGATGATTTGACGAATGATTTGACGAATCCGAGGTTTGCCAAAGTTCATCGACTTTTAAAGGCGTCTTTTCATCAGTTGCAACAAATCCACAGCAAGAAGTATCTTGCCTAGGACAGTGCCGCGTCGTCAAAACAGCTATATTAAGAAACCAAAAGATCGACTGCGTCTCCAGAATTCCCTTTCGAACCTTTCCAGTCAGACCGGTCGACCAAGGCTCAAACAGGCGCCGAAATCAGCGAGAAGCTTTCCCAGTTCCGGTGCAACACAAACATCGGCAAAGCTATCCTGTGCCCAACTCCGCCAAACACAGGGTGCCGGAAGATCAAGGGTGCCGAGCCGACTCCCCAGAGGTCGAGGATGGGTCGCAGAATTCGGAGCATCGTGTTTTGAGTCTGCGGAATGGTCATGAACAGCGCCCCCCCCAACCTGGTAGTGGTGGAAAAATAGGACTCCCATGTGATCGGCATATATGGCAGTCCCATGGGTCGTGTCTGGGAATGAGACTCTAAATCCCAACCATGGACTTGCCCCAGCCATCAACTGTTGAGATAAGGGTTCCTGGTGAGGGTTCCTACGTCATGTACTCTTGACTCTTGATGGATAAAACCCTGTTTAGAACCCTCCCATGTTGGTTTAAAAGAAACAGGGGGGGGCCCGATGAATCAAGAATCTGCATGACATGGATTGTTTGGGATTTGAGCCGAACGGACTTCTGCAAATCACCCTTGACGTTGGCACCGAACGCCTTCGCTCGCGAGTCTGGGCGAGTCTGAGCACGAACGCACGAACGCACGAACGCATGGATCGCGAGCGCCCGGGGCACTGTGCTTTCGGGCCCGAAGAGGGTCATGACGAGTAGACTGTTGATGAAGAAAAGCATGGACAGGGGTCACATGGAGTTGGGTTTAGTTCCATCCAGTGAGTGGATCATTCGCTGGTCCAAACTAGAGGTCACTCAGGCTCGAGTGCTCTAGGTCGATGAAGTCAACCCCCCCCCCACCAGCACCTTTAGTTCGTGACCTGATTGGAGACTCTGTTTGTGACCTGTTCAGGTACATGACCTCATCGGATCTCAAGTTCGGTTGACGATCCTGCCATGAGATGTAAAACCAGCCTGGTAGGGGATGGTTGATCAACAGTCTACACCCCAAACACTCCATGGAACTACCATAGGACTGCCGAGAAACGGCCAGGGGTGAGGGCCGGGCCTGGCTCTGGGGCGGCAGAACTATTCCAGCTGTCCGGCACCGCCCACGAAGTATGACACCCCTCATGTTGATTGGTTCATGTTTTCACATCTCCCTACGTTCGTCCAGTCTGACCCAGGTCCAAACCTGGTCTTCTATACCTCCTATTCCGACCTCGGTGTTCTATGACCATCTCCAGTATTTCATGAGGTTCAGTTCCTTACGGAACTGAGGGATCTCATGGACCGGTTCAGGATTCGGAACGGTGGCACCGCGGATGGCACATGTCTGACCTCCAAGCGTCTAAAGAACCTCAGACCTCCTTGAGAGTGAACTAGACATGGTTTGTCAGGATAGAACATGTCAACAGTCTACGCTTGAACATCTCTGCTTGCTTTCATCTCAAGCTCACGGGACCAAGACTCAGGAGCCTGAACACGCCAAGTCATTCGGAACACGGGGCACGAACGAGTCCCAACGCGAATCCAAGCGTGATGGGTGGGTGGTGTTGGAAGATCTTTTTGTGATAACACGCGTCAAAGCATAAGAAAGGAGCATGTGAAACATTGTGACAACACGTAGATTGCAGTAAACGTGGTCCAGTCATTGAACAACACACGATGTGCTATATAGAAATTCCATGAGGCGGTTCACAACATCCTGTTTGTCTTTCATGGCCATGTGCATTTGCAAGCGCACAAAGCTAAGAACCATCAAACAAGTCTAAACTTCATCGGCTTGGGGCTGCCTTGTTTGGGGTGTGTTGTGCAAGGTTACCAAAAAAAACATGCCTTGCTGCCTGATTGAAGGGAAACCATGAGAGAAAAAAATTGCACAGCACCACCATGAAACCACAGATTTGCCCAACAAGCTGCCCGCCACATAGTTCACCAATTGAAACCACAACAGCAAAATCTGTTTAAGTTAAAAGCAACAAGCGCGCCAATGTAGACTCCTGATTGATAAACCCCCCCATATGAAGAGGATGTTCATTTCAATTGGGAGGGGTTTACAAATCAAGAGTCTACATTCTTATGTCCCACCAAGCAAAACACACTATGCCGCTATGTTAATATGCATGGTATATACGGATGGTCAAACAGTCTGAACGGGGTTTCACCCCACTAGCTCTCTATGGCCTGGTCACCACGGCGTGCTGTCTCCCGCGGTGTCTCCATGCGTCTCCGGTTCCGGTGTCGTCTCCTCCAGTCTGACGGGGGCGGTGTCGCCGAGACCCCTGGGTCGGGCGCGTTGAAGAGGGGCGGTGGAATGAGGACATGTCCTCCGACCTACCTGGGAGACCTAGCTGTACCTTCTTGAAAGCGGTGTCCTGGCTGGAGGTCCCTGATCGTGGTGGGCTGGGGCAACAGCCAGGTGAACCCGAACCTGCCAGGTGATATAGGTAATATCGACTATACACTGGCAGTCGACTACTTCTTCGATTCGCAAAAAAATAGAACTAACCTCAGCGATCTCGGACCCAGCCAACCACCCCCCAACTCCTACGGTCCTCTCCAATCGAAGGGAGGGCGAAAACACTCATGGCAGGACCGGATCGGACCGACCGTCGTTGACCGACCGCGGCACATGGTGGCGCGAACGATCTCCGGGGCCCCGGAGAACGGAGGTCGGTGTGGAGTCGCATCGTGATTCGGATCAAAACCGTGGGGTTACAGCTGGATCTTCTATACCATGCTATACCATGCTATACCTATACCCTGGGAGTCAAAGACTATAAAAAGAATGGTCTGACTAGGGGACCTGAGTCCGGGAACTTCCTGAAACCTCCAGCCAGCCAAAATATAGTCGGTTCCTGGACTTCTAGGGATACTATCCCTGGATTTTCCCAACGTCTGCCAAATGTCTGCCGGGCTGATGTTGGAGTTAGTTGGGTCTCTCAAATCTCCATACATGTCACTGGGCGGTGAAATGGGAGGCACGAGGTGAGGTAGTGGTCAACCCCCCCAAAAAGGAAAGCTGGATTTGGATACATCCAAACCTGCAGCGTCCTCATGACACGTACCTCTCCGCCTTTCCGAACCTCGGGGGTGTCCTGAGGCTCTTCCTGTCCAGCCAGGACACCCAGGAGGTTCGGAAGGTGGGACGGACGGAAACAGTTGGAATCCACCTGAGACCCGCTCGGTTCGGCCGGTTCGGCCCTCGGCTCCCAAAGCGGGACACCCACGAGGGTGGCTTCGCCCACCACCGGCTTCAACTAAGGAGTTGACACTCCAAAACCAGGTCAACCATTGTATTATAGTAATGGTCTTGGAAGTCAAACGCGAGTGGCGCGTCCCCTGCCCTTTCTGCTGCTCCTAGTGCTTGTAAAGCACTGCCCCGTTGACCACCGAAGCACCTTGCCGCCCTTGCCGTGGTGAAAAGCACGTTGCTCCAAGAAGAGGTCCTGGTGCAAATGCTTCGCAGCTCCAAACTTCGAGACTGGTGACTGTAGCACCATGCTTAAGTCAGTAGCGCACAAACAAACAAAAACAACCACCATAAAAGCACCCCATGCTCCTCCCCTATACCCCGCTGTATGTTCGATGTATTTATCCAACCACCCTCCCCTGGCTGCTACACCCCTTCTTCGCTGCTCGGGCCTGGCGCCCTAGCCGTGCGTCGCCCACGACGGGGCCAGCGGCGAGGCCCAGTGCCTGGCCAGCGAGGTGTGAGGTAGTGGTCGACCCCCAAAAAAGGAAAGCTGGATTTGGATTGGGTCTATCAATACCTGTTTGCCAGTGGATGATGGTGAGGTTGCAGGCCTTGTCCAAAAGTCGTGATTCTTGCAGCGTTCTGGTGCCTCATTAGACAACCTGTGCAGAGTCTGTGCAGTACCTGGACCTTGCAAACTCGGGGGTGTCCTGAGGCTGGAGATCCATGCTGGACAACATGCGGGCGATTGCGAGCGACGACTAGCCAGGTGACCTTCGTTTTTTCTGGGGGATGAGATGCGAACTGTTTGGTCCAATTCAAAACACATTCAAAAGATGTCAAAAGGATTCAAAAGGTGGTGGTCCAGCCATCCATGTAGGTGGTAGGTATAGTTCTGCAAACATCCCTCCGGTCCACAGGCTCCGGCGCATGCCGCGACTGAGCTCCTCCCTTTTTTCACAGCAGGACTTGGTCACGTCTCTTCCTCCTCCTCCGCAGTTGCAACCGCGCGGTCCAGGGCCAGGCATTTGGGGCAGCGGCACAGGAAGCCTCGCTTCGTCCGTTCCGCCCACAAAGAGGCCAGTTCCAAACGCCACAGGTCTGTTGGCCCTCATTGAACTATTGGGAATTGTTACGACGAAAACACCAACTCAAGGTTTCAAGCAAGGACCAGGTTGTGGACTTGGCTCAGACTGGATCTTGCGCTAGGGGCCCCCTTCGTCACGCGTCCCGTCTGGCGACGTGACGTCGGCACATCCTCGATCCCAGTCTGGCAACGTGAAGGAGCCGTCGACTGGACGGTTTGAGATGTGCACCGTGGCCCAAAGCCTGCAATCTAATTACCAGGACCCGGGGTGCCCTGGAAGCCGAACGGCCGGTCGTGTGGGGTAGTGAAGCGCCAGGACCCCCCGAGGGTCGGAGGGTGGTAGAACCATGTTGGCAAGCTTCTCCTCATCATCCCCATGGACGTCTGGTGCCGAGGTCCCAGAATAGGTCGGCCGTTCCAGCCAGGTGGACCCTGAGTTCCGGTGCTGGCAGGTATAGTGTGCCAACCATTCCAATCTATAGGTCGACCACTGCGCGTCCCAAAAAAAACAAGACCAAACCACATGCAGGAGGATGGCCAGTCAAAGCGTCAAAGATGCATACCCAGGAAAATGACCGCGATGTCATCCAATGTACCAATTCCAGTCCCATGGATGGTCTGGAGCACGGTCCCCATTCACTTCCAATGGTACAAACCAAAAGACTCGTTCACTCTTGCCGGCGGTCGAAACCTCCGGAGAAACCCCAAACTCGCGCACACCAAAAATCGGAGCCGTTCTCCCCCTCTCCATACCTAGGCCTAGATCTTCCAACGCAACATCTCTGCGGAACTTGGCTAGTTTTACAGATGAAAAAGCAAACATTTTGCATATAGAAGACACTTTTAAAGACCCTCTGGAAGAAGGAAAATAGACCAAAACCATCCAAAACCGGTGGGTTGCGGGGCTCCTTATTAAAACACCCATATAGTTTGGAAGATCGTGGTGTCTCAATACAGGGAGCCATAGTCTTGCTGCAGGAGCTTGCGGCGCTCAGAGGGCTCCTGCAGGCGCCAGAGGGTTGGGCTGCCACTGCAGACAGAGTGGAGGGTGCAACGCGATGCGAGACGTCGAGGTCTGAAAAATGACACGTCGATTCAAGGGCTATCCAACCCAGACCATCCAATATATGGAATTTATATACCAGCACCCGACTCTACAGGTCTCCTCTGGTAGCTTTTGGAGACTTAAAAGTGTCAAGTGGTGACCTGTTGGAGGGTGCTGGTACATTGACTGACCCTTAAAAACATCTCAAAGTCGAAATTAGTCGAATATACCATGCATGGCAGTGGAGTGTTGGGGTAAGAACCGTGCATCTTCCAGAAATGCGGTGTCATTACCCCTAACTTTTCCAAAATTAGCAAGAGTACAGAAGTACATATAGCCGGACCCACATCAGCTCACCCCAGTTCTCTTCCGCTGAACGCTGACACACAATCCAATCAATCCTCCTCAATTCCACCGCATGTGCACCAAAAAAAAAAGGAGACGTCCGGCCATTCTAAGCGCTAGGCTATATACCCAGACACGACCAGTTTGGGACTGCCATCGGACTCAGGCCAGGGGTGGTGCCGGGGTCTGGGGCGGCAGTCCGGACTGGCAGTCCCAAACAGGTCGTGTCTGGGTCCGCGCCCACAGTCGTGCGATGCGCGATACAAAAAAGCGGTCCAAGTGCGCCAGCTCTTTAATGTAGTCGATGGTGAGCTCCTCAGGAGAAAGCAGCGATCTTCGGTCACGTCTGAAGTATATAGACCGGTCCGGCATGGAGCTGCTCTTCAGGACTTCACTACACTCTTCCAGCACCTTCAGTTCGGGGTCACCTGGCTGTTGCCGCCCCAGCCCACTACGATCAGGGACCTCCAGCCAGGACACCCCTTGAAGGTCCAGGTTGCAGCCCAGCCCCGGGGTGTCTCTTGGTCGGTCCAGGTGTCTCTGGTGTCGCCTTCAGATCCCTTGGAGGTGTCGCCGCTGGCGGGGGGGTGCTTAGCTTAGAACTCTCTCGAGCGAGCGAAAAGGATGTCGAGCTCGGTGGCGCTCAGGCTGTGAAAGACGGAAGAAAAAAAGAAGACGCGGTTGGACGCGGGGAGGACGCCAAACACTTCAGGGAAAGAACTTGGGATTTGCTTCATGAATGATCCTCATCTGTTCTCTCCTGGCCCTTCTTCACCTGCTTCTTGGCGCAAAGGACCATCTTCGCAGGCCGTCCCTTGCCCTCAATCCGCACTTCGCAGTTGGGTAGACAGCTATGGTTCAACCCGAGACACGGAGGTGAGGACAGTTTCCCACAACGGGTTTCAGGGTGGTGGAAGACCCAAGAACCGTCTCCCATTCGACCATTCAACCACAGGTTGAGCTGGAGTCTAAACTCATCCGCTGAAACCCTGAAGAAGTCCGTCGCTTCAGTCCTACTGACACCTACTCTGAGGGCTCCCTCATTGGTGAAGGGACCCAAAAACAGGAAGCCATCCAAAGATCACTAGTCATTTCATCACTAGTCATATCCCGTCTCCAATGGCCAATGGTCACATGAAGTCTGAATGAAGTTTTCGCGGAGGCATCATACATGAACCATCATGAACCTCACTTCAGATTGTTACTTGGGGAGTGGCCTGGGCCGCTCACATCTAGTCTGAAGCCATCAGAAAACCCACGTTCATGACGTGCAGCACCCAGCGAACACCGATGCGCACACCGTGGTGCGTCGACGAGACTCGACGTTCCGCCCCGAGCGTTGGAAGCAGCTGGGTGGACTTTGGGGGGAACCCCAAAAAATAGGATCCCAAAAAAACAGGAGAATGTAGACTATTTAGACTCTTGATTAATATAAACCACCCTATTTTGAATTGAACATCTTCTTGAAAGGGGAAGGTTTATTCATCTAAGAGTCTACATCACCAGTTCGAGGGCACGTACTGGCCCGAGCGGCCAAGACTGCCAAGAAGTGCGCTGGTCAGCTGCACTGACAGGATCATCGGTCTCAGAAGATACTAAGATGGAATGCCTACATTGACCTGTAAAGCTAATATAACATACCAGGGGTCACAAGAAGGGGTGGTGTTTAGTCCCATCCAGTGAGTGGATGTGACAGGGGCACCCAACTCCTACCTCCAAGTTCGGCACCCCGTCGAACGTGACTCCTGGTACCTGGATCTTCCAACGACATGACCAATTTCAGCCTTTGGGCTGTCTATTTTTGGGATGAAAAGGCTCACAGAACCCTCACAGTCGGAAGATCCAGGTACAGGGTGAGTGTGGGATATGAAGTCTTCCTCCAAAATCCCGTGACCCATCTCACAGAACCCGTAACGACGCGTCCGTGGCCTGGCAGCCGTCACGAAGAGGCCCTGTGAGCCGAAGTAGAAGAGCTTCGCGCAGAAGGGCCCCAGGATGGCGAAGAAGAGCACCCCCGCCGCCAAGATGGATCTCCTCGTGGAGTTCGACGAACGGCGACAGACCCAACCCCGCTCGATCGGCGGTCGGTGAAACCCGACGTTCGGCCGAGGGTTCAGGGGACTAACAGGTCTTGCTGGCTCCTCTATGTCCTCTGGTGCCGGAGCAAGGACCGAGGCACCCCTTTGCTTCGATCGGGGGGGGAGGGTTCCGGAGTTCAGGGACCGTCGACCGTCTGAAGCAGCGTTCCAAACCCGACATAGAGTGCATGCAAAGTTCTGCTCAGTAAGATATTGACTGTTGACAGTTCATGAATCAAACCCCCCTCCCCCCCAAAAAAGAACAAACTTGAACAAACAGAACCCGACTTCACAGAAATACCATGAAAAACCAGCTGCGACTGCGATGAATGTCTCCATTTCAGTCATACGTCGGAGACCCTGGTTCAGGTGGGTATTGGTTTGGAAAAGCCACAGAGTGCAAGAGTTGGGCTGTGGAGTCGTTGGGTTCAGCATCTTCAAAGCACCTGGAGCTCGGTGCACGAAACCACCTGAAAATCAAAAAACATAAAGGACACCAGCGATTGTTGGACAGTCTTACCCGTACGACATAGTTGCCTATACATTGACCCCTTCATCAAACAAGGAAATTTGCCAGGTGATCGCTGTAGCATATACTCTACCATTATATACCCTGATCTTCCAGGTCTGCCTTTTGGTTGATTTTATAGATACAAGGCATGTCTGATCCAGGCGGGTCAGTCTCAAGCAAGTCTTGTCTGGGAGATGGCGCCATCTCACCCACCAAAGGCACCATAACCTGGCCCGGACGAGCATCACGTATTGCCCGTGTGCGCGATAGGCGTAAGCACCTCCACACGCCAGACTCAGCAGTGTGGGACAAATCATCAAATGCAAGACCTGCCGGCGCGCCCGATTTGGCGCAAAGCATGGCATGAAAATCCGAGGCTTTGGAAGGTGGTGGCCTGATGGTTCTCTTAGATTACTTGTTTGTAGCGCTGGGGAGCACCATGGCGGATCATGGCATTGTCAAACCATAAATAAGTTGATTCCAATGATCTTTTTGCTATACCCAGGCACTCCATGTATGCCTTACTACATTGGGGTGGTTTTGGGGGTCAATGTATGTAAATATGCCATACACGGAGTGTCTGGGGTCTGGGATGCAAGGGGCTGAACTACTCGCAGGAATTGATGGGTGAGGAGCCAGGCAGCGGTCCAGTCTTCGTGCAGACTTCGAGGATGAAGGTTGCCCTTTCTTCGAAGGCTCGTGGACCACTGCCAGGAAGAACGGACATCCTCCATTCGTGTATGGAATCCGCCGGCCCTTGGGCGCGGCGTGTTTTAGGTGATTGGTTTGTGTATGTTATCCTAGTAGTTGTTTTGTTTTTGGTCTAATTGTACCCACGGCGCGGATTTTTGACAAGTCTAACTTCCCCTCCCCTCCCCCCCCCCTCAGCCAAAAGGGCCGGCGGAACAATCCGCAGGGGTAAATATATTGACCTGGATCTTCCCACTGGTTCAACATGTCTATCGAACTAGTATCTCCAACCCCCCCCGCCGCTCGAAAGAAGTGGATCGGAACCGATTCAACGGCGGTTGCGCAACGCTGATCGGATCTGATCGGCTTGGGAGGATCCACTTCATCTCAGCACTTTGAAAGAGAAGTGCCAAGAAATATATAGAAATCCTTGGGTGGGTACTTCGAACCTTCCAACTGCCGTACCAGTCAACCACGGTGCCACCGACCTCCACGGTGTTCGCACCTGCTTCGCTACCTACGGTCGCACCACCCGCCACCCAAAGGCTGGCGGCCAGGGCGCCTGGTTCCATTGCGTGTCCTCGAGGTCGCAGAAGTCAAAGCCACACGAGTCCCAGACCTTCAAGTGCTCCTCGGGCCTGCGAGGAGCATACGATCGATCCAGGACCTGAATCCTTGGACCCAGGACCCCCAGGACCCACTGTTCATGGAGAGCCCGAAGGACCTCTTTCAGGAGCTATCAATAGAAATCCCTTTAGTTTATCCTTGGATCTTCCAACTATATATATATATATATAGGTAACATTATGTAACCTTGTATGCCAAACTTGGCTGGTGTTACAGATGAAAAGGCAGAAGGATGATTGTCTCGAGGCACCGAAAACATGTCGAAAAGCCTTCCAAATTCGGAAGGGGTGAGAAACCTCAGGATTCAACCCGGTCGCCCCAGGTCGCCTTGATCACCTTCCATCGACTGAATCCCCTTCCAGGCACCTCAACTCCCACTCCGACCGGCTCGCCAGGCACCTCAACTCCGCCGGTTCTGCCGCCGGCTCCGCGGGTTCTGCGCCCAGTAGCAGCGGGTGGAGGGAGCGATAGCAGCGCCGCGCGGCGTCCGGCAACGCCTGGTACTTCTGCTCCACCTGGAGGAGCTCATCCGGTGAAGGCCAAAGCGGCGGAGCGGCAGAGGCGGTGAAGGTGTGGAAGGGGAAGGGATGGGATGGAGTTGGAGGGCTGACGCATCGATGTGGTTCGATGTAGGTGTTGGCGTGTGCAGGTGTTTTCTTTCTGCAATAGGAGGGATCGGGTAGACAGATGTGCGTGAAAATCACACGGGTGTGTGGAAAGTGCTTCATGCTCCAAGAACGAAGCTTCCGCAATGCTTGTTCCCCAAAGCAAATGTCAACAGCTTGGTGAAAACCACGCCAGATGCCATGGTCTATATGTCTGTCCTGTCAATCTCATGAGGTATTTAGTGAAAGTGTCTATCTGGCTTCAACAATCTATTTATTGATATTGCCATGAAAAAAACCGTCCTGTCATAAGTACGTCCATCTTTAAACTAAATCGTCATATAAAACTAACTATTCTAAATCCTCATTCACCTTCTCATCTCTCTCTCTCTCTCTCACTCTCTCTCCCCACACCTCCCAAATCCTCCCAACATCGCTTAAAACCATCAGATCCTCCATTCCCACCAGTACAGAATACCTCTCTCCTTGCCACTCGCCACTCCTCCCTGCGCCTCGCCTTCTCGCGGCGCAGCACCACCACACCACTGAGGATCATCCAGGTCTTGACCGTCACCAGCGACAGCTCCTGATCGAAGGAACGGCCCTACTGCAGCCATCGACACAAGCAGGTCGTGGTTCTGAACGAGCTGGTTGGTGGGGAACCCGAACCCGAACGAACTCGATCTGTCCTAGTTGGCTACTGGTTGAAACCGGGTCCGACTCGTGACCTGGTCACTCTCCACCTCTGGTTTAGGGAGCGACACTGGGAGCGATACGATGTCCAGTGACCAACACATGAAAGGCCAGCCTTGCTGGTTCCGTGGACCCGGTCGACTAGAAACATCGCACGACATGAACGAACTTCGGCGGGAATTGTTCACACTGCCCACAGAGGTGGAGAGTGACCAGGTCACGAGTCGGACCCGGTTTCAACCTGGGGTACCCAACGTTCGGATAGTCGATCGTTCGGGTTCTGGCCCACCTCTGCTGGTGCGGATGGTCCATAATAAAAACGTCAAATCAACTATGACAATATGATATGGGACGACCAAATCAGATCAGAAATCAGTCTCCTGTGGTACCAAGGATGGTGAGACCGGCCATGTGTCCATCCGAAAAACCGAGCCAAAGTCCATCGCAGCACGACTTAAACGATCCATCAAGTCGAACCACCACCAATCCAACATATCACCCTATAGAAGTCGTGGCCCACCATGTTGTTTTAATAGCCTGTTCTTCCCGAACCACCATTGTTTTACGTAAGGGTTTCACACATGTAACACCAGATGTTCCATTGTTTTACTTATAAAGGGGTTTCACACTATCACTTGTAACACCAGATCGTTCCCCTTTTTAAACCAATGGTCGACTTGACTTCCAGGGTAGTACAGTACATGGGCCCCAATAAATCGACCCATTGATCCAA